CACGCGACGGCGGTCGTAAGCGCTGGGTGCCAGTGCTGGCGCGCGCTACGCCAGCGTCCGGGCACCTCAGGAGTGATACGTATTGTACGCGCGCCCGGCGGGTCGATTGTGACGATTAAGCTGCCACACATTTAATTAAAATATTGTTCAAATAACATTGAGAATGATCCGATAAGGATTGAAAGGTTTGTATTATATATTTTTGTTAGTTTTTATTAGATCAGGTTTGCATCCTAATAATAATACTAGGTATGTAAATATGAAACCGGAATTTACGAATAGATGGCCATAACTGTCAATGTAGTTGCTACTATTCTAACTAGACCCTAAATAGGCCCGAGTTTGCCAAACCTTTATTTTATATGCCTCAGTAAAGCGGCGTCTACAATGAGACTTTAAGGCGTAAAACTTAAGCTTTAAACCTTAAGCCGTTAAAAAATGTCCAATCATAGTCGATTATTCTCCTCACATTTGACCGAGATTGGTCAATTTCTTAAGACTTGAGGCTTAAAGCTTAAGTTTAACATCTTAAAATCTCATTGTAGACGCCGCATAATGCCCATATATATGGCGTACATGGGCTGCAACTCGGCAAGCCTAAGTATAACTATCTTGGGCAAAATGTGGAATTCAAATTAGGCCCTATACGGGCCGTGACTAGGGCCGGTATTCATAGTCGATTCTTATTTCAAGACAATCTTGAGTAATGTCCAAAGACGCTGATGCGGTCCTCTGATTGGTTCGTGATTTCTTAAGACCGTACTTAAGACGGTCTTGAATATAAGAATCGATTATGAATACCGGCCTAAGAAGACCTAAGTTAAACCATCCTCACTGTACCGTAAATGGGCCTGAGTTTGGCAAACATTTATTTTGGATGCCTAAGTAATGCCCATATGGGGCCTACATAGGCTGAGACTGGGCAAGCCTAAGTATAACTACCTTGGGAAAAACGTGGAATCCAAACTAGGCCCTATACGGGCTGTGACTAGGAAGACCTAAGTTAAACTATCCTATCTAGACCCTAAATAGGCCCGAGTTTGACAAACCTTTATTTGGATTCCTCAGTAATGCCCATATGGGGCCTACATGGGCTGCGACCGGGCAAGCCTAAGTATAACTACCTTGGGAAAAACGTGGAATCCAAACTAGGCCCTATACGGGCTGTGACTAGGAAGACCTAAGTTAAACTATCCTATCTAGACCCTAAATAGGCCCGAGTTTGACAAACCTTTATTTGGATTCCTCAGTAATGCCCATATGGGGACTACATGGGCTGCGACCGGGCAAGCCTAAGTATAACTACCTTGGGAAAAACGTGGAATTCGAACTAGGCCCTATACGGGCTGTGACTAGGAAGACCTAAGTTAAACTATCCTATCTAGACCCTAAATAGGCCCGAGTTTGACAAACCTTTATTTAGATTCCTCAGTAATGCCCATATGGGGCCTACATGGGTTGCGACCGGGCAAGCCTAAGTACAACTACCTTGGGAAAAACGTAGAATCCAAACTAGGCCCTATACGGGCTGTAACTAGGAAGACCTAAGTTAAACTATCCTATCTAGGCCCTAAATAGGCCCAAGTTTGGCAAACCTTTATATTGGATGCCTCAGTAATGCCCATATGGGGCCAATATTAAAGTATGGAACGCCCGGACAAATTTCTACACGGGAGGTATCTTTTTGAATTCAATTAAATAAAATGTATATCGTTAACATTCAGTAATTAATTATTCAGAAAAATATTTATATTTGCTTTACTTTTCATATGTAAACTTTCGGAAAACAGAATAGAAATATTATTTGACATTCAATCGAAATTAGATGTTTGTTCCAATTAATATTTCTACTCTATATGATAATATTTCTACTCTATTCTCCGAAAGTTCACATATAAAAAATAAGGCAAAAAGAAGAAACTAAATAACGACACTTGCTGGTAGAATATCGTATATTTCACTTTTGCCCAACTGTATTTAGATTCGCGTGTTAGCACGAGCCCCCCATTCGTTAGCGCGGGCAGGAACGAAGGCGACACTAATTAATGCGGCGATACTCGTCAGCGAATCAAAGCAACGCAACGGGCTCTTCCGCGCGTTTGCATTCCTTGTACGGTCCTCGCCTCTTCCTTTTTCCTCGATGAGAGGAAGAGAGAAAGGTGGAAAGGGCGAGAGGGGAACGAGCAGATAGAGTGCTAGAGGGTGAGGACATCTCATCCCTTAAGAGGAAGCCTTAATAGGATGCGCCGGCGGTTGCCCTATACGTGCGATTCTCTTCCCGCTATCGGGAAGGTGTTAGCTTCCGGATCCGTGCATTCGCAATTTGCATTAGCCGGAGCGAATTACGCGAAATTTATGCGAGCCGAGGATACGGCCGGGGTTGCCTTCGCTTAAGCGTATTCGGGGCCACTTAGGCGGCCGCTCCAGCGGTGGAGTCGCTCTACTTATGGCACCGTGGACAGCTAATGTCCGCAACTATTTCTCTCTGGTCGTACAGCCCGCGCTTGCCGTCTTACAATATTATTCCACGAGCATTGTGTCTTATCCACCGAGAAAGACACACACACACACAGAGAGAGAGAGAGAGAGAGAGAGAGAGAGGGGGGGGGAGGGAGAATAGCACGTTTGCCAAACGACTATGTCGGCCCACGATTAATCGTCGTACCGTCGACATCGCGTTTCGCTCGATGCTGTTGCGCGTGTAAGGCGTCTCTTAAGAAAGGACAAGAAACGATAGAGAAATACCATAACCTTCTCGATAAATTATTATAAAATTTTTTACAAGTGAGAATTCAATCAGTGACCCACAATTACCTTAGAAAAATTGTGCCGCTTTACGATCATCGCTTCTCAGTGTGAGGAACGTACAACTTGAAATATTGTAAAATGCAAATCATGATTTTATTATGGTTTTGGCTCATGTTTTTGAGTCATCAATAGATATAATTCTATCAAATGCAATAAATTATAGTTATCCTTTCGGATATAATATCATAATTTTTGATACCGATAAAACGTAAAAGTGTAAATATTTTGTATGCTATTTGATCTATGTATTGACACAAATAAATTTGGAAATGTCAGAGTGTAAACAGAAAAGAAAGAAAATTATTATTATTTTTCAATTAATCCAAAACAGGTTTTATTGTAAAAAAATTCAATTTTTAATCTGGTAATAATCTAAAATCTAAATTAACAAGTTATGATAGTCGCACATAGAAAAAAATTTATTTCAGAAAATAAGTAAAATAATTTGTCTATGCACTTTTTCCGAAGTATTCATAAAAAACGGCACGTTAATAATTGAATTAACTATTAATACAATTGAAACATGTAGATGACGAATGATATACCTGCATTGTAACAAATGGAACAAAATAACATTTGACGCTAAATTAATGAAGTTTTAAATGCGAATAATATTTTGCTCCCGAAATCGATGATACAGATGCATCTCGAATCGGGATATACCTGTGGATTGTAGCTACCAATCGGTTTGATCAATCGACTCGCGGCATGTTCTTTCAATTATCTCGGGACGGCAACTCCGATCGGACATGAAAATTAATTGCTCGCGTGACGCACATTTGATCACAGCAATTTGTATCTTTTTTTATAGCTGCTCTCGTCCGCGGAGCATCTCTTCCATGATAAGCCTAATGTTTACAATTGTCGAGTAACTCGATAGAAATCATTCTTTTAATGATAAGGCAAGTTGCAAAACGCTAGTAAACGAAAATACATAAAGGAGAAGGTGGTATTATGGCCAATGTATAGATATTGTAGCCTCCCTTAATATCTTCGCTATTACATATAGTGAATTCTAATGCTTACTTATGGAATTATTTGTACAGTAGCCCGCCATTACACCATGACGTTAACATGCTAATACTCAATAGCCAGCAATTATTATAACGCATTTTTACTTTCAAACGTTTCTAAGGTACATTTTAGCATTTAATTACACCTATTTAATTACACCTATTTTTTTATTTTCTTAAACTTGAGCGTACTATCACACAAATATATGTATATTTGAGTATGTTGTTTGCTGTTTAATATTTTATTTGACTGCATGCATTTTGAGTTATGCAATTTAAAGGATAGTATGGCATTTTGCTAATATGGCTCTCTATGGCCCGATTTTTCATTATCTGGTTAACTTGTGGTTAATCTGATGTTTCACCCAATAGGCTTCATTCATGACATCATCACAGATAAACCCCATTGAATAAAACATCAGGTTAAATCTAACCACAAATTAACTAAGTAATGAAAAACCGAGCCTATGCGTATTGATTACTTACGGCCTCTTTTTGGAGGTTTTCATATCAAATAAAATTATTTGATAATCGATTGTAGCTCTACTCTGTTAATCTATAGTTTATATTACGTATACTATTTTTAGTACTGAGAGTTTTAGTACTGAGCAGCTTATATACAGAAGTTATGTGTACATATATACATTTATTTGCATACATTCTAAAATGTTTTACTTTTTTGTTAATTTGTAAGCAAACACTGTGTTTTTTTAAACAAAACCTATTTTTTAAATCTATTTTTGTAGGAAATCAAATTACCATCTCTGTTTTTCTTAGAGTCATTAATGCAATGTTAATGCCACATTTTTATAAATAATTTCTTATGTAATAGATGTTTCGTAACTTTGAGTTTAGAATTGATTGAACAATACTTTGGCGAATGTAATCACTAAGTTTTAAACTTAAATTTGTATTATTAACCAAGTTATTGTATAAAATATAAATGGGGAGCCGTAATACCACCATTTCCTTTATATACGATCAAATAATTTTACAAGTTACAAAAATCATTAAATCATATCTGAAAAGAATTAATTGTTAGAAAACTTCGCACATAAAATTGTGAACTCGCGTTAGATAGGAATGCACAGTTAAGGAGTTAAAAAGGCTAAAAACTTTAACTCGGGATGTGATTGTGCACTGTTAGAATTAATCTGGTAGAATGTGATGATTACTCACTTTCTTGCCGTCCAGTTCGTGATTGCCCTGCGCCAGCACTTTGTCTACGCTCGCAGGGTCTGCGAATGTGATGAATCCGAAGCCCCTGCAAACAAACGAAAGGAGGATGTTTAATATGAATGTATACTTGTCGCTCGGGACATTAATTAAGCAAGCATTTGCTGATAGTAATAGTATTTCCATCGTGAACGCGTCTAAAGATAGCGATTGTAGTACAACGCGGCACACGTTACAAGATACATATCTCAATGTAGCGCATACATCAAAGCGCGATCATAAAAAAACCGGTCGTGACCATAATACATTTTCGTATTAATTCATTCTCGTAAATTGCGAGATACGATAGTATTAATTCTCTGAACGAGGTAATTTCCGCTCCTTTTATTTCCGCGATTAAAAGTAGTCATTAAAAAATAATTGATTACTACCGCTTTTCTACTTTATGCATTAAAAATTACGCCAAAAGAATCACTTCAAACAGTTTTGAAATATCTACTCGTAATATATATCGCGATTTTATTTATCTCTCTAAATCTGAATTAGTGGATAATCACTGATTATTACTATTAGTATGTCGCTGGTAATCAATTCACAGTGAAATTCAACAAAAAACTCAATCCCTTAAACGTGGAAACGTGAAATCCCTAACCCAGCTAATTCTGCTTTATGCATTCAGTGTATATGATATTAGAATTGAGAGCAAATATCGGTATTTTAATTATGTAATGCTCAAACTTCCTTTCTTTTTCAATTGAATGTCACTAATTATGCAGTGGCATATCACTAATTCAAATTTAGATTACAAACGTATCCATTACATTATTGAATTAAGTTAAGATGGATTAATTTTTTGCGTTGTCTATAATAACAATTAATCAATATATTATGTTCCAGTTTTAGAATATATACTAGTTACAGAAATATATATGATCGTTCTATATATGATTACAATTATCGTAGATTAAGCTTCATTAAATGATATACACATATAATGATATAATTAATAGTAATATATATTTGATAACAATGTTTCTTAAGTAAAAAACAATATTTGTATTAAACAATTTGATTCGAGAAAATGTATTAAATTTGACACGAAAATAGGTTTATTGTTTACTAAGTGTATATGTTTAGTGTGGACGTTGTTTACTTTGAAATTATCCATAAAAATAGATTAATTTAAATTTTGATACACAGATGGAAGTTAAAAATAACAAAATATTACTTTTAACTAAAGGAATTAGGTTACCATTGCTTTTTTGATGTCTAACAGTGTGTGGTTGCTAATTTATCAGAAACCTATGCAAATTCATAGAAGCTGCCGCGCCAGTAACATTAAAATCTAGAGGATTAAAGCGAAACAAATATCGGGCCTAGCGCGGTCCGTTGTGTCATAAATTTCACGCCGGACATCGTGTACACACGGATATATTAAAAGACAGTTCGACGCCGTGAGCTAAGGGGGTGGATACCGCCGGCCGATCCACGAACAAGGGATGAGCGATACGACGATACGAGGGAATGCAACGCGCCGGACGCAAAGCGGTTTGCATTTTTCATGCCGGAGCCGCCCCGGCAGTTATTGAAAATATTTACATGTTATTTATGGGGCACACATGCTTCAAGAACCAAACGCGCCACCGAGCTACCCCCGTCAATCCTCCCCGCGTGTTCCTCTCCTCGTCCACCTTTCGCACGCAAACCCCTTCTTTTCCGCCTCTTTTCCTTCGACTGCCTCCCTTTTTCTGTTTCGCCGTTCCCTGCGGAACGTCGTATTCCCGTCGCTATTCCCACCCTCAACTCCTTCATCCGCTCCCGAGGAGCAACCGCCCCCGGACCTGCCGGCAACGTCTCGAGAATTCTACAAAACGTTTCACGCCTCTCTTACTGCTTCCGCTTCCTTCCCATCGACGAAACAACGAATACTCGTATGGATTGAATTTTTGATGGAACCGACCCCTCCGGGCCTTCAACCCACCCTCTTCAACCATTCCGCTTTCCGTGCGTCGCCGCTTTCTTTCGTCTGCTTTCATCCGCGATGTACGGTGATTCTCATGCGTCGAGTGCGAGCTGCATGGAAGTATCGCGACAACTTCCTCTTATATCGATTTTTTCGAGCACGCGATATCATTTCGAACCAAGTCAATGACGAAAAAGGTGCGTATCCCTAAGAAAAGTAAAGAGAACGGCAGCAACACGTACACTTGCGTATGCGAATTCGGAAGGTAGTCGATTGTTATTCCGCATCGGTGATATTCGAAAAGGGCACAATACAATGCCTCGTGTTTCCACATGGCGTTGGAAAAAAGCTAGTTTCACTCCCTCTCGTTCATTTTATAACAGCGAATTGCACCAGCGGCCACAGTTATTGCAATATCGCTGTATCAATACACACGACACGTATACACGAATATACGAGATTGTTCTTTCTGCAAAAATTTTGCCATTTATCCACCGTATTCTTCCGTAATTTTCTTAATTCTTAATATTAATTCCACACAAATGTACAAATATTTCCTAATGAAATAAAATATGCAAATAATGAGATCATCATACATATACAAGTTATCCTAGAATTTGCAAACAATTTTTTTATCCGTCGATTCTCTGGACCAATTTAAAGTCGATTTTTCTTTGGCTACAATATTGAGAGAGTGATTGCAAGTTTTCAATATTTCCAATATTAAATATCTTTTAAATACTGCCGCGATTGGCTAAAAAATAGATGAAAAGCACAATATATAATACATATAATACACGTCCCGGCTCATGGCGTTCACGATGCCATCCGACATTAGTGAACTCGCGATTTGCTCATGTGGCTACGACAACTATATATGTACCGAATTTTGGGAGGTTTTTCACAGTACGCACGGCCGAAGCGACAATCGCGGCAAACGAACGGCCGCTGAATCGGCAGTCGTCCAATCAGCATTAAAACGCCAAACAACACGAGCGAGAACACCACGGGCAGTTCGCATTTGCATACAACGAAACGAGAGTTCGTCCGGACGTTCTCTCTCTCTCTCTCTCTCTCTCTCTCTCTCTCTCTCTCACCTCCTCTCGCACTCTCTTTTACAACAGCGCATTTATGACGATGTGCGCGCAATGTACCGAAATCATGAACAACGGCCTCGGAAAGCCACGCGAATAATTCATTCTTTTTCCGTCGAGCATCACCGGAATTTCATTAGAATTTAGGTTCACTAATGATATCATTGGAAAATTATTAATTGAATCATTAATTGGATCAATCATGTACAGTAATAGTAAAGAAGGCAGAGGCTTATTGGCACAAGAGACAAGTTAGTATTGTGTTCCGCGTTTATGTATTTATCGCGGAAGAAATAATGGAAAGTTATTGAAAAATATCTCTTTTATATCATAGATAGCTTTCTCCAATTTTTATTTAAATTAGACAAGTATTACAATAAAAAAAAGAGATAAATCTGATTCAAGACGAGACAAGTAAATTTTCAAGTGTTTTATAATTTTATATTTATTAATGTTTCTTGAGAGACTAAATCTCAGTGATTTAGTATTAATTCAGAAAAACAAAAAAGTTTCTGTTATTATACAATATGTTATTTGAGTAATAATAGTAATTTGTTGTAATAAAACGATAAAAATCAAACATATGTAAAAATGGAATAGATTGACTCATGTTTAAGGCAAGTTTATTTTGCTGCAAGAAATAAACATTCAGTTTCAATTTAACTTTGATAAAACGCTTTGTATTTAATATTTCTATTGAAGTAAGCTATATCTAAAATAGTTTGCAAAAAATTTTATTTTGTGACAAAAATCTAACATTAAAAAAATATATATATGGGGTAACTCCGGCAAATACGCCGCGCTGGGATTTACACCGCAGAAGTCAGAAAAAATAGAAGGAGTGGGGGTAATTGTCCCGTAACTACTCTGTTACATACCTTTATGTTATATTAATATTGTGTTATGATTTCAGCTTCTTACTGTTAATATATTAATGAATTTATTGTGAATTGAATCGATTTGTCACTGTAATAAGTAACGCCATCATAAGTTATAATCTACATAAAATGATTAATGTAGGACGTGTAAAAGACTTAGTAGTTATTTCGTGATACATACGTGTAGTGGAATAGTAAAGCATGTTTGTATTATTAAGCATGTTTGCATTATTTGTAAATTTTTCCCACCCCTATGAGATATGCGGCAAAAATACAAGGTTTCAAAAAGTTTATTTTTTAATATGAAAAATAAATATTTCGGATTTCTAATATTTTTTTCATAGTAGTAGACAGTACAAAGTTTTTACTGATATAGTTCGTTTGCTACATAAACATAGTAAATAATAAATAATACTTAATAAATTAAGTTTTTGATAGGTGCGGCGTATATACCGGAATTACCTTATATATATTATACAACCTCTTTCTTTATCAATACATATGTGCGATATGTTTCTTTAATTTCTGTTATGTTTTAATTTAATATGAAGTTTGTATAGGCAACATACATCGTTATATGTATCAATTTACTTCACTATCGGGGCAAGCTGGCCACAATGCAGCGTGTTCATATTTCACTTACTACAAAGAAACTACGCTGAGAAAAAGATACTTAAAAATGTATTTGTGAGAAGAATATTTATTTCACTGAAATAAATCTTTATATAAGTACGACAAAATAGAATTTCATTCTTAGCAAATAAACCATCTATTTTATTTTTTTGCAATTAATGAGATTTATTTAACAGAAATGTAATTTCGTAATTACAATTAAATTTTTTATAACTAATAAATATCGAAGAAAATATTGTAATTAACGTATACTTCGCATTGATTCATTTATCTTGAAATACGTTTTATTATTAAACAAAGTAAAATTGTAATTCTTTTTTGTACCGAAAGATTAAAATCGTCGCACATTTTCCTGTGAAAATTTTACGGAATGTAATATCGTAAACACTGTTGAACACCGTTGGACTTAATTAAAAAAGAAAAATTAAACACATAGATTGCTTAGTAACGCTATTACGTGCAATCTTCATTCCGCATTCCTGACTAAACTTGGTTCCAGACTCACGGAGATTCAATCTTA